TCAAACAGGTCACCTGCTCACAGGTTAGCATGTCAAACAGGTCACCTGCTCACAGGTTAGCATGTCAAACAGGTCACCTGCAAACAGGTTAGCATGTCAAACAGGTCACCTGCTCATAGGTTAGCATGTCAAACAGGTCACCTGCTCACAGGTTAGCTTACCTATATAATAAATGACTTCTTGTACAATTATTTAATATTCATGTACAATTATTTAATCGCATTGTATTTTCCAAATAATAAAGAAAATTGTGTATTTTAAGCAGAACAAATTCAACTCAGATATTAGTAAAAATAACCGCAATTAACGTTAAGAATTTCCAAAGAAAATATAAGCTAAAAATTTGTATTAAGTACTACACTTAATACGCAACGGATACCTAACGCTATTTATTACCTATAACGTATAACCTTCATCACACATCTTAACCCTTCATCACACAGGCAAACATTTCATCACAGTTTAACAGGCAAACTTGACCTGATATTTTAGTGACCATTTAGCTAATTTCAGTTTAATTGTTTATTACGATTTATTTATTGATAGATTGTAAATGCGTTATAATTTTTATTTTAATTTGTAAATCCTTATTGAATTTATTAGTGAATCCAAAAAGTAATCATTCTCTCACATTAATCAACTCCCTAGTTGAATGACGTATATACAAGTAACTCAATAACATTTTCTTGATTAACATTTTAAACCCAACCCAGTAACACTGTAATGTATAGAAAACGAGAAATGGTGATATTAATTCAACAAAATAGTGCAAATTAAAGTACATTGTGCAGCAGTAATGTGCAAAATGAACGAAAACAACACATTGTGAGCACATTCAGCCCCAGATTTGTAAACCTATTCATATTTACATTCATTGAGCATTCAATTAATTGAACACGGTAATATGAATCGAATGAAGCGAATAAGACGTTAAGAATAGATATATTAAACTACTCACCTGTCACTTACAACCTTATTCAGTCCAGAGTTGCGCTCTCATCATGGGTTAAATTATACAGATTAAGTGGTATGTTACATATGAGTTACTGTGGTGAGGGAGGTGATGTCATCACACTAGCGTTAAATGTGCATGACTGTGGTGAACGAAATTATGACAACACATTACTGGTATGATGAGTTATATGTGCATGACTGTGGTGAGAAAGATAATGTTGACATACTATGGGTACGAGTTAAGATGTGCAGGACTATGGATGGTAGAGCAAAAATGCAGTAATTGGGACGTAAATGCAGCTATGTTGTCGTTTACTTGTTCTTCATTAAAAATCATTTTTTGTTGCCGCTATTGTGTCAGCTGATTTAAGTATCCATACAACGGGTGTTCCGCAAGACTCCTAAAATCTAATAGAATACGCCCAGACAGACTCTGGTACTTCCATTCACAAACTCAATTTTGTTAATCTATGTCGCTATTCTGTGGCACTCGTACATGACAAGGACACTAGGAATATATGGGGATTCGTTACGCAGGATCATGCTGAACAGGTTACCCGAAAATTGTAAATGCATTCCATAGTCGTGATGTATATAATACCAATCCCCCCAGATCCATTTTTATTTCAAGCTGAGATGAGTCTTTCAGAAGCGGAAAACGTCGCATCGAAGAAAATATTCAAACATGTTTGGGTATATACTTCAGTTATTTAATTTAATATCCTTCGAAAACAGTTGGTTCTTAAATGACAGTCCTCAAGCTTGGTCGTAGAAATTGACAACCTCAAAGCTTATATCGAAGCAGTTGAATTGGAGAACCCTATGGCTTAGATGTTGAAGCCGTTGAAATGGGTATCCCCAATGCTAACATAGAAGATGTTGAAATTGACAATATCAAAGCTCAAGTCGAAACCGTTTAAATGGTCAACCTCAAGGCTTACGTGGAAGCTGTCGAAATGGACAATACAAATTAAGGCTTATGTCGAAATCGCTAAAATGAACAACCCCGTGGTTTGCGCTGAAGCCGTAAAAATAGACAAGGCCAAGGCTATTTCCGAAGCCGATTAAATGGACAACCCTAGGGCTTCTTTAGATAGATTAAAAATGGTCAATCCAAGGGCTCATGTCGAAATCGCTGAAATGAACAACCCCGAGGTTCGGGTAGAAGAAGTTGCAATGGACAATCCCATGGCTTACGGAGAAGACGTTGACATTGACAATCCCAAGGCTTTTGTATAAATAGTCGAAATTGACAACCCCAAGAACCAATACATTGAGCGCCTATACTAACAAATTCGAGGGTTCGTAGCATGTTCATAAGCAACAACCCATGGGTTCACGTAGAAAAAGTCGAAAGTGACAACTCCAAGTTGTATTTCAAAGCCCTTGAAATTGATTAGTGTAATGTAACCTTGAAGCCTTGTAATCCTATCTCATCGACTAGCTCCTTGGCTAGTGTAGTAGGCGCTAAAATTTACGTTAACGATCACATCTACTGATCATTTTTATAGCGAATAAATACTTGGTTCTACAAAGCAGCAGGGAAATAGCCTAGTACTACACGCAAAACAAATCGCATGCAAATTGATGTTAAGTGCTGTCAATAACTACGCGCAATACGAAGACACCAACAACACTTTTCAACTCACACATGCTGGCAAAATTATCTACGCTAAGTTCATTGAGGGGAGTAGCACGGGGATGGCACACAAAACTTAGCCTTCGCATAAATTTATGTCCACGGATAACATTGCGGGAAGCCACAAGCGATGGAACTTCATATTAAGCAACTGTGGCTATAGATTGGATGCGGGGGTCAGTGCACACCATACAAAACTTCAAGGTGCGTCTACGAGAAACGATGTTAAAATATCGGTTTAATTAGTCGGATATTGTGTAGCTGTTGGGAGGGACACGTGTCACTGATTCAGATATTGTGTTGGATAAACACTCACCAAGGTGGGTGTTCCCAAGCAGCTGCATCGTCGTGCTGGTCGCCTTCTTCTGCTTGTTGGTTGCGACGTCGCGGCTTCCGTCTGTAGGCCAGCACATCATTCTTCTCATACCTCAACTTAATGCATTAGGAGATAGTGGCTGATCTAGTGAGATCAATGATGCAAAGCATACGTACACATTAACACCATTCTAAACAGCAATACCGAGAAAATACCGAGAAAAGCGAGGTTCAACGACAACATTCTAAAAAAAACTACGCCCAACAACCGCATTTTTAAAAACTAAGCCCAGCAACAGCATCTTAAAAAACTTTGTCCAATAATAATATTGGACAAACTAAGCCCCGTAAAAGCATTCCAAAAAGCAATACCTGGCAACAAAATTAAAAAATGACTTTGCACTGCAAATGTATTTCTGATAGCCAGGCCCAATAACAGCGTTCAGTGGTACCAGCTCTCTATAAACCTTTGTCCCTGTACCGTTTAAAGAGGCTCGAATGTATTTAATTCGTCATGATTATATTCCCAATTGGATGATGAACGGTGAATGCATTTAAATGTGACGAAGCATATGTAACTGAAAAATACATTTCTGACGAAATCGGACTACCAAGTAGAAATTTGAGGACAGCTCGCCGACGTGTTAAAAGGCAAGACAAAGCAATCAAGGGCGTAACAAAAGCATGAGTAAAACACTAGACACAAGCTCGGATAACGCCCAAGAATATGCCCGGGCTTCGAACGTCCGTTGAAGTTTTGAGCTTCCCATCACACTCTTAGATTGTAACCTTGAGGTTGATAGTGTTTTTTAATCACGAGTGGCTACCTTCGAGTACAGTTCTTAATACGGGTAGGTTGTGGGTATCTTTAGAGAATTCTTCGCATGCATGAACCTATAGTGGCTACATGGGTTATCAGTCATCTGATCTTGTGAAAGACATTCACTTATGATACTGGATGCTCTGCCAACAGTAGCCTGGAATCATGTGTCGCCCAAGGTACGTGGCGTGGCTACGTGCGGTTCTCGTCGCATCTCGTCATCCTCTTTCGTTTTCATTTTTAGTCTAAAAGCCTTTGTACAACTGTACAAGTCTACATATACACTAATTACTTCGGTTCTTAGCTACACTCTCCTCATGTAAGATCGTCTTGGAAATTTTAATCAATCTTGCCAATAACTTGAAACTGATGTCGAGTTCATACAGTACTGTGCCAAGAAATTCGAATATGCCGAGATTCTCAGACCGACTTCACCCTTTGCTCAACGGTTATCCTCTCAGTTGGAAACTTCCGGGGATTCTTTTCCTTTAGCGCTTCGCCTCCAAAACGTAGACGATTCATGCGCATACAATGTGGTTTAATCTTATAATACATTATGGTTCGAGGGGGTTTAGTGTGCTGCAAATAGTGGCATTAAAGGGTGGGGCTCATGCCGGAGGCCAGCTTTGCCAAACTTCACACTTGGTTCATACATTCCTTTCCATAGGTAAGAACGCTAGAGTGCATAACGGCCTATGAAGTCAAGTGCTCAAAGCCATATGGCGCCGAATGTCCACAGCCACAAAATGAGCTTGCCAAAGGTAAACATGGTCATACTTCATCTGGCCAAACCTCCGCTGGCCTAACCTCTTCAGGCCTAACCTATACGAGCTGCAAACCTTTCTCAACCCAAAATAAACCTGAGCGAACCTAACCTAACCTCATTGGCTGCAAGAAGTTAGAAAGGCGGTCCAAGTGTGAGGGTAGAGCCAGTCATTGGCTGCAAGGAGGATGTGAGCCGGAACAGCGTGAATAGGTTAGGCCAGAAGAGGTTAGGCCGGAGTAGGTACAGCCGGATGGGGAACTGCCTGCTTATGAGCGAGCAGGCTTGAGCATTGGCTGAAGACCTACGGCGCTATTATCTTTCGGCAGTGTGTCGCTTGTCTGGATTACGGAGTTCAAGCGTAGTCTGCGGCTGAGTAAGTTAATGCATGGTAAAGCTAGGCGTTGGCTCCAGAGCTTATTTAAGAGTAAAATTTGTGGCCAACGGCTGCGCCCCCTTAAAGGGTTAGGTCCAGGCCAGTTCAGGCACAGAAATATAAAAAATGAGTTCAGTTTAGCTTCAACAGTGTAGTTGAAATAAGGGTTTCGGTATCGGTTAGTTTTGTAGAAGTCTGAGATTCAAGGCGGTTTCAAAAGCTTATTCTGCGTGGTAGAAATATTGGGGTTCAGTTCAGTTCAAAGTGTGGCGAACTGTAAAGTTGGAAGCGCAAAGTGATTTCAATCGTGTAGTTGAAAAGCAATGTTCATGATTGTTTGGTCAGTGTGCGGGACTATAGGATTCAGTTTAGTTTCAAATAAGTAGTTGAAATCGGGCTTCACTATCGTTTAGCTACTTTAGTTTTGTGTGAAGAACTATTGAGTTTAGTTAATTTGAAATGGTGTTGCTGAAAAGCGGAGTTTACTATTGAGTCAATGAGAACCGAGAGGATTTGAGTGGTACCAGAGGTGCCAGAAGAGCTATTATTTCCATTATGGGATTTAAAAATACACATGAATATGAAAGATTTTGTCTATGAACTCGCTTGATTACACATTATTTACAAAAATATCAATACTTACCGTTCTCACTGCAATAAAAGCAGCTGCCAATTTTCAATGGAATATTTGCAACATCGATACCACGCCTTATCTAACAAATTCTATTGGCCCATCACACATTTCGGAGAATTCGCTTTTTCAGCTCATATACTATCAGCGTTATAAAGTATTATACAGGAAGATGCAGTGAAATCTTCGGACATGGACCGAGCTAGCAATGCGCAATAAGCTACTGCAACCTGCAATGCAGCATACTGTTAATTAGGACTGGGTTCTCCTGGCGTAGGTTAGCCCCAAAAAAGGTGTTAAAATATTAGAAAAATTTTACGCAAAAGACAGCACTGAGTGCCTACGTACAAGACAGTTCTGTATGTCTACGTAGAAGACAGTTCTGTGTGTATAGGTACAAGACAGTCTGTGAGTCTACGTACATGACAGTTCTGTGGGTCCACGCGTAAGACTGTTCTGCGTGTCTGGGTACAAGACTGTTCAGCAGGTCTAGGTACAAGACTGTTCTGCGTGTCTAGGTACAAGACTGTTCTGCGTGTCTAGGTACAAGCCAGTTCTGCGTGTCTACGTACAAGACTGTTCTGCGTGTCTAGGTACAAGACAGTTCGTGTCAACGAACGAGACAGTTCTGTGTGTCTAGCTACATGACAGTTCTGCGTGTCTAGGTACAAGACAGTTCTACGTGTCTATCTACATTATTAGTCTTTCTTATTTGGCTAGTGGAGGTAAGCTGTAAGTTGCGTCAACCTGAAATTGGATTATATTCCAAATAAAAACAGGGTGATTCGCGGAAACTTCCCGATTTGAAATTTCAATAAAAAATGAACCAGTAGAGATATCATTAAATTACAATATAAATTTCAATTAGAAATACATTTCTTGAATTTTTTGTACTACTTAGCTTTCAAGTTGATATCGGCCAAATGATGGCCCCCATTGTCAGTACATTCAGTTAGTCGATTTTTGACGTTCCGTTCCACTCCCTGAAGTATATTGACGGTATGTTGGTGATGAATTGGTGTATATTGTTCTTCAACTGAGGTAGGGTCCTTGCATGGGCAGTCATTGTAAATAATTAATTTAAGATAACCCCGTAAACAAAATCACATGGAGCCTAATTGGGGAATCGGGCCTGCTAAAGAAGGTCAACTCTGATGGAGATGAAACGCTCTGTAAAATGTTGTCTTAGGGTACGCACACAGTGAAAGCAGGTTTGCCCGCGCGGGCAACCTGCTCCAACCTGCCACAAGAATGAACATAGGATAATAATGTAAGTGTTCACAGTGAAAACCTGTACGAATAGGCCAGCGCCAGGCCTATTTATTTCAATTTCAGGCGCCAGCCTAAGCAGGTAACCAGCACGCTGACAACCTGCTTTCACTGTGTGGGTACCCTTACATCCATTGAACATCGCGCTGTGAGCCGTGGCTCCATCCTGTTGTAACCAGACTTCCCAGACTTTTATTTCAGTCAGATATGGCAAAAAAGGCTTCAATCATTTGCGTGTACCGAGCTGCAGTCACTGTTACTGCGCGTTCGTTTTCCTCAAAAGAACCCGACCTGAAGGACGAATACAGCACCGAGTATGGAGAGCTTGTTGAGTAGAGAAAATGGAACGGCCACTAGAAAATTACGCCTCAACAGCAAACGTACGCTGCCCACTTGTCCAATTCATAGTGGCAACTGAATAGGCGGGACTCAAAACTTCATGGCCTTTCCTTTCATATGAAATACTCCAATCTATTTTCCTACTACATCTGGCTGCTTGGTGCAAAATGCAAAACAGGAAGTTTCCGTTGATAACCCGGTATTAATATCTGTGCCTTTTCAACTGTAGTGATTCCAGTTGTATTATTAGACTTGAACAGTTTTTATACATCCTAATGTTTTATTTAAGTACAATTCACCTGTGAACCCCGGCTGGTTGTCAACGTTTAATTGAGTAAATAAAGAGTTAATATAATCGAAATTGTAAGGTAGTTAATCATGGTCAGTCTTGATATCTATATAATATCTCATAATTTTTTAATAGTTTTAAATTCTGGTATTAACAATTATTATGTAATTCACGATAATTAAACAACTACACCGGGAAAAATATTAGATTTAGATTTGTTTTTCTCGCCATAAAGGTATAACGCACGATATTTTATAAAGTTCGAAACTTCATCGTGTGTGGCTACACGAATGTACTCGAAACCCGCAGTTCTATTTGATCTATTATCTTATTGATACAGTTCCTTTCCACGCAGAACTTCCGTAGGTTATAATTTGATAAGGTTCTCCGTGTTCGTGATGAGTAGACCTTAACATCTATTCCTCAAGAATTCATTTTTACAGAACTCTGAATTAAAATATTTTTGCTACAAAATAAACGAAATGTCAATGCGCGACTTACCGTTGTTCTCTGGAAGCAGGCAATGCATAACGCAAGTAATGCAGGAACAGGTAATACCTGGGACAAATAATACCTAGAGTAGGTAATACCTGGAGTAGGTAGTGACCCAGTCAGGTGATAAATGAACCAAGTAATACCTGAAGTCGGTAATACCTGAAGCAGGTAATGACGCGGACACATAATGCCAGATGTAATGAGAAATAATGTTCACGAAGCTTGAAAATGAAGCAAAATGCAAGCATGCGCGAAGCTGCACCGAGCATAAGCAAAGCAAGAATAGCGAATTAAATACCAAAAGAATACGACTCAAAATCCAAACAAGCAAGCTGTACAATATTAAATAGTATAATAAAATGACAATAGTTTTTCGGAAACGAAGATATTGGGATTCATCATGCGGCATGACCTTTTTAAATTCGAGCTCATATACGAGTGACTGACAAGTCAATCTTGGCTCCATGCGAGATCCGAAACACATAAGCAAAAGATGCACAAAATTCACACTTCATAGAAACATATGATTATGCGTAAATTATTTCAAAATTTTATTTGGCTGATAATCCTTGAATCGCAGGGACAATAAATATTTTTATGTCATTACGACAATTTACAATTAAGTACAGCGACGTAAGTATTTAAAAATTATTCAGTTTGTACAATAGAGTTCCGCTTAAGACAGCTTACCCAGCACCAGCGTGGGCCAGCTCTCCATACGCGCTGACAGTCCCTTCAGGAAGATCTGCAAGCGAAAGGGATGTGTGTTATTGGCCAGCTTTGCTCAGTACCATCATCGTCTTCATATTCCTTGCCGTGCGCAAGATACTACAGGGTAGAATAGCCATTGAAGTTGAGTGTTTAAAGTAAATTTAGTGTTTAAAGACTTTGGCGAGATAATTCTGCTGTCAGTTCTCAAGTCAGTTTAGTTTTCATGAGGGTAGCATGAGCCTACCTACACTCCTACCCCGACTTTCCACCCAAAACAACATTACCGGACTTAACCTAACCTCTTTAGCTGCTCGCGATGAACAGCTTCCACTTTTCGCTCCCAGAGGAGGAACACTTCCACCATCTCATCACACTTCCATTCATCCTATCAAACTCTCACCCATCTTATGACACTTCCATCCATCTCATCACACCTGGTGGAGGAAGAGGAGAGTTTCGGAGTTGAGGAAGATAGAGTTGACATCCTCGTGGTTGCAGGGCGGTTTCTTACTGGACGCTGCCATCTTGAAAGGCCTCAGAAAGCACGACACCAGCAGGTTCAGCTGATCTACATACTCCTCTTCCGCCTCCACCATCCGGAACACGAGACTGGTGGAACAGGGTAACGATCACATCTAATGGGAAAAAATTTAAGAGGATGAAGCTTGATGAATTTCATAGAGTACTGTCCGTCATTATCCCGTAAATTGATATTGTGACAGTTAAAATAGAAAGCCTGACGACCCCACCACCAACCTGTTCCTCTTGCGCATACTGTCCGCATGGGGCGACCTGATGTACTCTTCGACGATCTGCTTCCAGCGACGGCGACACAACCAGCCCCTGAAGAAGCTCTGCACCTTCTTGATCTTTCGGATCTCCTCGGAATCCTCGGGGAGGTCGTCGAGACGCCCTCCTGAAGCCCCAGACGACCACGTCTTCTTCAACGAGCAAAGCTGAGGAGGGTGGCAGCTTTTGTTACGGGCTCGGGACCGAATCCAATAAACAGCGGCCTATTATTGTATTGTGTGTTTTCGCTCGTCTTCTTGACCATTTTTGATTTATACTATTCAAATAATTTAGGCATATGATTAAAGACATATGTATTTCACAGGCTTGTCTCTCGAAAAACAACACAGCTCCAACATGATCCAACGAAGCTTCAAATATAATTCGGGTCGATCACGCATAGCAGCCGCAAGCCACATAAGCGACACATGCCTCTTGAATTATACTAACCAGCTACCAGAAATGAGTCAACCACACAAACATAGTCCTTGAATTAAACCAACCAGCTGTCAGATAAGGAGAAGGTAATATGACCCAGCATTACCAGTCAACACACAAAAAATTTTAAACCAATCAGACTAAGCACGTCGGAATCTTCCAGTATTAATTATCCAATTACCCAGGCCAATAAACCACCAGCATACATTCTCTGTATAGAAGTTGCCCCGACAGAACGACTAATCATCCACAAGGACGGTGGATTTCGGAGCCTAACTTTATATTCTGAAACTAAATTTCAGAGGGTTCAGTCAGGAGGTAATTGGTATCCCTGCCGAAAGATTCGGTTCAGCTGAACTTTTTGGTGTTCCACACAACATTGGTGTTGAACATGTTCTCTCTGTCTGTCAAGCCGCTCTGCAAACAAAGTATGTTGACTCTGTTCTTGGTAACCAATCAATAATACTTTAGACTGATTAATTGTTATCGTCTCCAAGTTTGATTGGTTGCATGAGCCTTAAGCAAGTCGGTTGGGGATGCGTCGGCGTATTTGAGCGGTCACTGCATTGCAGCGCTCTGATTGGCTGCATCGTTCGCGCCGCGGTTAATTGACGTCGGTGTTTCCAAACTGAAATTAGGCAGTGCGCAGTAAAGGAAGCTAAAAAATTGCATTCTACTATTCTGCAAGTGTGCGCCTAAAAATATATTTTGATAAATAAAAACAGGATTCTGGAATGTCAAAGATAGAAATAATTTCAATGAATGGAGCCCTCTCTGAAATCATTTTACGCTACGTGGATGCTTGCTTCTTGTATTCGAAGTGATTTGGATTAGATTTACCTCTACCCTAAGCTTGCGTGTTGCATGGAAGGGTCCGTTGGTCCGCAGCATGCGTATCGCGTATACGTATCTGTTCTGCCCTGAACTTCTGTATATCATTAGGATTCCTCGGCTTAGAGCTCGCATAAGTTTACTTCTGGAGTTCTGGTATGAGCAAACGCATAGCGCAATCAGATTCTCTCTATCGTGAGCTGCGTATATAGTAAGTTTACCTCTGCCCTGAGCTTGCGTATCTCGGACGAAAGTTCTTCAACCTGCTGAGTATACAGATTCTTGGCGGTCTTCTCGCTTTCGACGATTTGCAAGAGATGCAGGTGTTGCTGCTCCAGCTCCTCCTTCTGCAGCAGCACCTGCACGACAACGGAAAGAAACTAAATGACTTAACAGTAACGCGTTTTTAACTCTGAAATATTACTTCACTATGGCACGTTAATTTACCTTAATATTGGATTGGACTCTGACTTGCTAAAGAATAACACATGGGATCTTTTGCTTGCGCCTTCGTGTTCGACGCGTGCCTTCCTGTGTTGCATTGCCTTCAAATATAACAGAACACACCTAGAGGTATACATTAAGGCCAGAATTAGGCACACATGGTAACTTCAAGGCACCTTGTTAAAGCTGGCAGGCCTGATGGCTTCAATCCAGACTCTGCAAGCGATCTCGCTTTCAGCCCGGAGGTCGTACTGCCGCTGGTGGTCGCGGCGGTAGGTGATGGCGAAGCAGCACTGGAATATGGTGGTGGAAAGAACGCGTGAGAAACATCAGAGGTGAGAGAGTGGAAGATGAATGAAATGGTTGTTACATGTGGATTGAGTTGCGCCCCGAGAGGCGTAAGCAGAGCTTGCAAGAAATTTGAGAGGGGAGTCGCGCTGAGATTATACGCAGCGTTACGCGGGTCGAAAACTATTATGGGGGGCATAAAGAGTTCTTGGTAGGACATAATCGAGAGCATGTGGCATTGATGCGTGACACATAAACGAGGACATTGGGCTCTTGATATGGTACAAGATGAATAGCATATAACCATTGATATCACGAATGATTCAGGGGAAGAGACTCATCATATGGGACATAATTAATGAGATCATGAGGTCAACAAAGTTAAAATATTCGGTGTGGAATTGATTATTAGCTAATTAGCAGATAGGACGTGAGAGGGCATGTATGCATTGAGAAGTCTAGCAGCACAGCTCGATTTGGTTAGGTGAGTTATAGAGAACGTGATGGTAATGAGACAGTGATAAAGATTCCTGAATTTGACCTAATTACTTTTTAGCCGGGAAACCATGATTGGCGATTGCTTGCGTGATTGGCTACCTGACTTTTATTGTCTATGGACTATGTGATTGGCTGAGGAATGTGTGATAAGCTAGCTTACTTAAAGAAAGGCCTAATTGACCAGAGACCAAAGGATTGACTGCATGATTTGCCAGGGATTGAGTGATTGACCAGTGAATACCTGCTTGTCCTCCTCCTTGCCCCTGGCGCCCTGCAGTCCTGACGTGATGAGGCGCTCACAGTAGCAGCCCTCCAGCAGGATTACCCCGGCCGGCTTCACACTTTTCTCGTTCTCGGCGTAGAACAGCAGGTTCTGGGACGAAAGCATTGTTAGGAGCAAATCATGGGGCCGGTAACAATGAGAGGTGCAAGTTATTGTGACGAGGAATCAACTAGGAACTGGTTATGATGTCGAAGGATCCGATAAAAAGCAACTTCGGGGGGCGTGAACCGTGTTAGGAGCAGGATCTGTGGGCAAAAACTTCGTTTGTAGTAGGTCTAGACTCTAGAGGGTGAGAACTGAATATGAGGGGGATGTGTATATGAAGGGATGTGTATATTTTTTGAGGCCTATTCTTATGAACGTGGATTACTATCATAAGATGGCTCTCCAAATCATATCAAGCAGTAACATGTACCGGTACTACAGCTGGAACTTCTACCGAGCACAACACCCGATTAAAATTGCCGTCAATATCAGCATAGATTGTGCTACTAGGAAAGAATGGAAGACAACAAGAGGTGGCACAGAGTAGCCAGAAAGAAAAAGGAGTTATAATAAAAACACGTAAATAATACGTGGTTGAACAAATACATATATCTGTTCAACTATATGGGGAAACAATGGAAGCTTTCCAGTATACAGCATGCGAACAACGTAACTGCGCTGCTCGTACGAAATTTAAAGCGGTTTGAGTTATATGGTGAACAGTACTGTCATCCACACGGTGTCGAACGGCAGCTTAGTTCATCATTCGAAGCACGTTTCAAATCAAAAACGTACGTATTATTGTAATTGAACATTTCCATATTTACTAAATGATTCGCACTGACACTGTGAAGGCTTTCGCTATCACAAATAACTCGTGATCTATTCATTTTATTCTGAACTTCACGCGCCACATCATCACTGATAGGCTGTTTTCAAACGAGGTTCATACTAGGCTGAATTGGTTTCCGAATAATTTTATCTCGATGCACGAATGAAGGTGAACTCCATTAAATTTCATGGTGAACTTTCATTATTAATTGATATCTAGAATGACATTTCGCTCCCGTTTTCCCTTAATTAATGTCGTCATCAGATGGAGACCGAATGCTTTGCTCGTCCCTTTCTTGGCACTCTTTAGGCCCGTGTCCAGAATGCAAGCTATGGGCGCTAGTACCGTCCAAAATCCACGGTCCACTTCATGTCCATTTCATTGATATGAGCGCTAGAGGGAATAGCAGACTATGAAGCCAGTGAAATTAAGCGATTGAAGCAATATCGCCTTGAGACAACAGCCGACGCTCGCTCATAAGTATGCTGTTCTGCATTTTGCCTAACATCCGTACGTAGTAACACCGTCTCTACACCCAAAACAAACCTGACTTCACGCAACCAAGCTAACCTCATTTGCGTCATGATGGTCCAGGTGACGTGAGGTTGTTAGTATTTTTGTTTAATGTGTTCTTTTTCCTATCAAATGGTGTATGGACTTGGCTTTTAGCTTGCATTTAGGGCTCTGGTGGTCGTTGCGGGTTGCCTTAGCAAATTCTCTCATGAGGAGACAGTTCTGCATTCGGTTTAACAAGTAATTGTTTAATTGTTAGGCCAAATACAGATTTCCCGCTCCAAAAAGCCATGCTAAATAAACCGGTGGCTTGGGACTTACATTACTATTGCCTTTTAAAAGAAGTAGTACTTGTCTGGATTACTGTGTTCTATCGTAGTTGGTGTCTTCTATTTTTGAGGCTGATTGCAGTTATTGCATGATGAAGCTGGGCGTTGGCTCTAGGGCTAATTCAAGAGTTAGATTTGTTGCCCACGGATGCGTCCATAGACCTCTAGGCAAGCTGCAACGACCACGCGAGTGAGATAGGCATTATGGAGGCCAGCATGCAACTACCCCATCAAGTCCATACCCTGATTGACTGAAAACTAAAATTTATTATGCTCTCAGCGGCCCAACCGTTGAAGTAAATCATTGCAGTTACGTAATGAGCTAATAAATTTTGCATTATGTGGGTTTATAGCATTAATGTAATGCATACTACACTGTACGAAAAATGACCGTTAAACGGTATTACCGGCATTTCAGTGGCCGGCTCGCCCGTGAAAAAAACAATGTGTTGCCGGTTTTTAGCAAATTTAACACTAGACACCCGTACAATAGTATAGTATCTTCGGCATTAAATAAATAGGCCTGGATAGGCCTGTTTAATGATACAATAATGCAATGCATGATACAATAATGCAAAAAATAGCGAAACGGTTTTTTTTCATGGGGCTCGGTCGATCACTAAAACCCTGGTGAACCGATTTTGTCATATCGTTTCCGAACGTGTACACATTAGTGAACTATTGACATTATCAAGACAATGATAAGCATTATCAAGGCAAGGTATACGCAGTGCTTGATGGCACTCAGCGACTGATGGGACCTCGAAATGGGACTCTAAATTATGCTAGGATGTCCATTCAATTTTATAATTAGATTAGAATCTACGTCCAAAATTATTTGGACAATATGTTTGTTTACAAGTTCCAGGCTTTGATGATTTCAATTGAGATCAGTTAAATCGGAACGATGACTTTATTAGACGTTAGCGCGATTTAACCCTCTATCGCCAAACATAAGCAATCGAAGCAATATTGTCACGCGCCTACTTTCCAAAAAGGATACGTTCTAGTGAGCGCAACATGACTTGCACTGATGGTTGCCGCCATGTACGACAACTTTAAAATGTTCTCTGTTGTGTACAAACGTCCTCAGGTTGCTACACTCAATAGTTTACGTATAATTTAAGTTGAAAGTTATGTTCCCGGAGAGTGACATACGGCGGTAGAGGGTTATCCCCACTCTATATGTCCCCGCTCTATATGTCCCCGCTCTATATGTCCCCGCTCTATATGTCCCCACTCTATATGTCCCCGCTCTATATGTCCCCACTCTATAAGTCTCCACTCTATAAGTCCCCACTCTATAAGTCCCCACTCTATAAATACCCACTCTTTAAATCCCCACTCTATAAATCGCCATCTATTTTTCCCACTCTATAAGTCATGCATGGAACAGAGAGAACAGTTAACGAGGTTCTATCCTTAATTCTCTACCGCCTGACCTGAGTAACCGGAGCAATATTGTCACGCGCCTACTTCCCAAAAAGGATACGTTCTAGTGAGCGCAAAACGAAATGACTTGCACTGATAAAAATGACTTGCACTGATGGTTGCCGCCATGTTCAACTTTAAAATGCTCTCTGCTGCGTACAAACGTTGCTACACTTAATAGTTTGCGTATAATTTAAGCTGAAAGTTATGTTCCCGGAGAGTGACATACGGCGGTAGAGGGTTAAGTTGAAAGTTATGTTCCCGGAGAGTGACATACGGCGGTAGAGGGTTAAGAAACATACAAATCCAATCCTGATCTCAAGGTAAGTGTAGAGCTGCAGCTATATAGTCTAGTAGTGCTTCTTTACAATTATATTTTACTCAGCCTCACTCTTCATACGTATCTATGAGGATTTATTTCTAAAATTTTCTGAATTAATCAAGCAATTTCTTTTCGATGTACTTCATTATACGCTGATTTCTCAAGAGACATTCAAATCTTACCATGAGGCTGATTTTTTCAAGTGAAATAAAATAATAAGACCGCATGTCTGTTTTTTTAAATAAATTGAAAGACCGCTTGCATGGCACATGCAATTCTGTGTCTGCATGTCACCAACCCGCGGCACAGAGAGCGCTGCAGCGTCACTGCCGCGCTTCGGCCGTCAGTTCCTAAAGCCGTAACGTAGCCGGGCTTTGGCGCCGAATCAGCGCCAATTGACGCACGGCTCTAACATTGGCGTCAATGTTATATTTCCGGCTCTACGGCAGCGAAACAGCGTCGACATCGCGACTGAAGATTGGCATGCAGCCGTCGTTAATGACACGTTAATTTTTAGATAGGTTTAAGTAGCAGCTTTTCTGGCTGATACCAGCTTCAGCAGGAGCATGTTTCTGGTAAAGCAGGAACAAGTACCAGTTACAGCAGGAACAAGTACCAGTTACAGCAAGAACAAGTACCTGGTACAGCAGGAACCAGCGCAGCTGCCAGCGGTTCGAGTCGGACGATCGCTTGTGCAGAAAGCCTGAGTTGTTGTAGGTGTGGTCGTTGCGGGCCTTCTCCCACAGCATGATGACCTGCAGGCCAGAACGGTCATTACATTATGGCCTGCAGGCAGGAACAGATTTTACATGATGGCCCGTAGGCATTGGCAGGCATTACATTATGGCCTGCAGGCATTGGCAGGCATTACATTATGGCCTGCAGGCATTGGCAGCATTACATTATGGCCTGCAGGCATTGGCAGCATTACATTATGGCCTGCAGGCATTGGCAGGAATTAAAAGATGACCTGCAGGCAGGAACGGGTATTACATGATGACCTGCAGACATTGGCAGGTATTACATGATGACCTGCAGACAGGAACAGGTATTACATGATGACCTGCAGACAGCAACAGGCATTACATGATGACCTGCAGACAGGAATAGGTATTACATGATGACCTGCAGACAGGAACAGGTATTACATGATGACCTGCAGACAGGAACAGGTATTACATGATGACCTGCAGACAGGAACAGGTATTACATGATGACCTGCAGACAGGAATAGGTATTACATGATGACCTGCAGACAGTAACTTGTATTACATGATGGCCTGCAGGCAGGAACAGGTATTACATGATGACCTGCAGACAGTAACTTGTATTACATGATGGCCTGCAGGCAGGAACAGGTATTACATGATGACCTGCAGACATTGGCAGGTATTAAATTAGTCTTAACCTCGGTTCTCACCTGGTTCTCACGAGGCGTTGCCCCGGTTCTCACCTGGTTCTCCCGATGCGTTGCCCCGGTTCTCACGAGGCGTTGCCCCGGTTCTCACCTGGTTCTCCCGAAGCGTTGCACCGGTTCTCACCTGGTTCTCGTTGATGCGGATGGAGCGCTGCATCTTGGGACTGAGCATCCTGACCCGCGACGATAGCAACGACGGCGACGCAGGAGCTGACGCTGACGCCGCTGAAGTGCCTGACGTGGCTGACGGTGAGCTGACGGCTAGGTTCGAGGTGTCAGCAGCTGTTATAGCAGGAATAGTCGTAGAACATTTACGTCCCGTGGACGTAGAGCTGCTACGACGTCTGTTCTTACGACAGCTATGGTGGTGGACAACATGTTGGGCGGACGCCGCTGCTGCTGGTGGAGCAGTGGCTCCTCCAGAGGTGGACGCGGGGCTGGAGGGGGTGGATACGCTTCCTGGGGGCTCTCCCCCTGGGTCTGCTGACGCAGGTGGTGCTGGGGAGGACCTGTGAGCGGCTGAGCTGAAGGCAGACGAGAGCTTAGCGAAGGCATGAGAAGCAGCAACAGCGGCAGCTTGAGAAGCAGCGGCTACACGAGAAGCCGTTGGAGAAGGAGAAGTGACAGAAGAAGATGAGTTGTCCTTCTTCTCGGACGCCAGCTTGGCAGTACTCGCTCTTTACCACACGAACACGGTGCACTGATTACGGTACACGTCTCACGAAGGGCGGTACACGGTACATGAAGGGTGGTTCACGGCACATGAAGGGCGGTACATGGTACACGATGGGCGGTGCACGGTACACGGAAAAGCTCGATCTTCGGTCTTCAGCATCACTACCCTTCTTGGTAAAAATTTTCAGTTTAATATCCTTCATTCTCAATAATTAACTCTATTTCTCTGCACTTCTTCCGCACTTGAACCCGCCCAACAAAGCACAAGTCAAAATGATTGCCCTCTAAAATTTAAAAGGCGTTCAAATTGTTTAAAATGTAGTGTATTTTATTTCACAATATCACTCCCCTTTTGGCTATCGGGCCCCCATAGCACATCACAGTACCACAGCACCGCATCACTGCACTGCATTGGTTAAAAACAACCTATCCTTGTGCTATCATATGAAGGCGTTTCAAAAATGCAATGGCATTTTTATTCGCAGACTGCAGAAATCGGCGTTGATTAATCCTATAATTAAAATAAGTTGATTGTCGACGTCTGTTGAGTGAAGAAATTCGTTAAACTTTTGCACGAGTAAACTGTTATTAAACGAATTTACCAGCATGTGCTATAACACGAATATTAAAGCAGTTGCTAAAATAACACGGAAATTAAAACCACATGCAGCTGCTACAATAAGAATATTATAGCATCTGCTACCTTAACACGAATATCAGAACAACAGAGTGAAAGGCTGGTGGAAGAGAGGCAGTAATGCGGGATGTAAGAGAAAGACAAGCTGGTGGAAGAGGGGCAGTGATACAGAATGCAGTGGAGTGAGCAGCTGGTAGGAGGGGGGGAAGTGAGGCGTAATGCAGGAAAAAGAGTGACTGGTGGAAGAGAGGCCGTACTACGGAATGCAGAGGAGTGAGAGGTTGCTGGAAGAAGAGCAGTAATACGAAATGCAGAAGAGAGAGAGGTTGCTGGAAGAAGAGCAGTAATACGAAATGCAGAAGAGAGAGAGGTTGCTGGAAGAAGAACAGTAATACGAAATGTTAGGAAGAAAGAGAGGTTGGTGGAAGAAGAACAGTAATACGAAATGTCAGGAAGAGAGAGGTTGGTGGAAGAGCGTCAGTAATACGGAATGCTAGGAAAAAAGAGGTTAGTGGAAGAGGGGCAGTATGTGGGGGTAGGAAGAGGCAGGCAGGTAGATGAGGGTAAAGGAAGGGCAGGGAGGGCAGGACAGAGAGGGGCAGGTAGAGGGTATTGATCTGAGGGCGACCCCTCATTCCCTCTCCAAGGGAACGCTTCCTCCACATTGCAGGATGGCGCTGCGTAGTGGCACACAAACACTACTCTCGTGACACACTGGCACACTAGTGGCACACTAGTAATCTCGTGGCACACTGACTCCCTAGTGGCACTGGCCCACTAGTGTCACACAGGCAATATCGGGGCACCCTGTCATTCCCGTGGTACACTGGCACTCTCATGGCACACTGTCACTCTCGTGGCGCAATGACACTTTAAAAGCACAGTGGCACTTCAGTGGCACACTATCCTTCTAGTGGCACACTGACAATCTTATGACACACTGGCACTCAAAAGGCACACTGGCACTCTAAAGGCACACTGGCACTCTAGTGGCACACTGGCACTCTTGCATCGCACTCATACACTCGTGGAAGCTTTAGACGGGACCGTCCCCGGGCCATCATAGGACCGTCCCCGGGCCATCGTAGGACCGGCCCCGGGCCAATATAGGACCGTCCCCGACCCGCCGGCTGACAGGTCGTCCCTTCCGTCACGGTCACTGGGACAGTGGAACGGAGCTTATGTCACACTGTCCCAGTGACCTTGACGGCCGCTGAGACAGCGCACCACTGCCCTCAGTTGGGCCAGCTGTTGTCCTCAGTTAGGTCAGCTGTTGTCCTCAGTTAGGCCAGCTGTTGTCCTCAGTTAGACAAGCTGTTGTCCTCAGTTAGGCCAGCTGTTGTCCTCAGTTAGGCCAGCTGAAGCCCTAAGTTTGTGGTGCACGATACTGTTGCCTGCTTCTTGTCGCTGCTGGTGGTGCAGAGGCGAACTATCAGAGACTGTGCTCAGGCACAACTCCACTCGTCTCTTGAAGATTTAAAATACACATTCTGCCTTCTCAGATCTACGACAAAACATGGAACACAGCAATCTTTCTCTCATAGTTCAAATTCTGGACACAACTATCTTCATCAGGAATGGTATTCTGAATAGACTATCCCTCTTTTCATTGTGATAGGTGACAATCCTGGTGGTCTCATTTATGCAGTTCTGGGATAGTTAGGTTATCATAATCTGCCTATGCATGATGACATACAGTACCTCTTTCTTCGCTCTAATGTCTTCGGGGACTTGAACAAAACTCACTTTCGTACACGCAGCGGCCTATGCACAAGTAACGGCCAAGTACATGTAGCAGTGTAAGTGTACGTGGCGGCATGAGTATACGTAGCGGCCCAATTTCATGTAGCGGCCTAAGTACACGTAACGGCCCAAGTACAAGTAGCGGCCGGCTTAAGTGCACACAGCGGCCTAGGCACACGTAACGGCTACAGTACACGTAGCGGCCAAAGTACACGTAGCGGCAAAAGTACACGTAGCGGCCTAAGTACACGTAGCGGCCTAAGTACACGTAGCGGCCTAAGTGCACACAGTGGCCTAGGCACACGTAACAGCTACAGTACACGTAGCGGCCAAAGTACATGTAGCGGCCAAAGTACACGTAGCGGCAAAAGTANCAGTGCTGGCAACTTACGCTCAGTGCTGGCAACTTACGCTCAGTGCTGGCAACTTACGCTCAGTGCTGGCAACATGCGCTCAGTGCTGGCAACTTACGCTCAGTGCTGGCAACATGCTCTCAGTGCTGGCGACTTAAGCTTTGTGCTGGCAACTTTGCCTAAATTTCTATAAAAAAGGACATTTTATTAAAAAATTTATATCTTAACAGTAAGATCAAGTTTTGGAAACATCCGAAGAAACATTTGATGCGAAGCTCAAGACGTGTTTGAACATCTCAAGTGTCGCGGAAGAGACCATCTTACACCTGAACACATAGACAACACTTGCTGCATGGGACACACTGCTACCTGATCGAAAAAACGGTGAAAAAACGGTCCCACTGGCGTTCTAGTGGCCGGTCGCCCCGTGAAAATAAACTGTTTCGCCATTTTTATCAGATATTTTACAGATTTCTAGTGTTAAATTAGAATAAAAACGGTGACACGGTGTGTTTCTTTTCACGTGCCGACCGGCCTCTGAAACGCCGGTAATCCCGTTAACGGTAATTTTTCTAACAGTGTACCTGATCGAACACTATTTTACCGTTATTTCTTCCCCGACATACAATATATTGTGAGTGTTATTGATATATTGTGAGTGATTCACAACTTAAATTCAGTACAATTGTTCTAGGTGTTTTTGCAAATTGCTTTCCATCTACTGATCGAACACTATTTTAGCGTTATTTCTTCCCCGACATACAATATATTGTGAGTGTTATTGATATATTGTGAGTGATGCACAATTTAATTCAGTACAATTGTTCTAAGTATTTTTGCAAATCGATTTTTATATAAATTGTTGCCTTTGAGTTCATTTATCGACTTCCACATCAGAAATCGTTGCGACGCTCAATCGATGCGAGATCAGTAATACAAAAAACTGTCACCATGGGTCTCGGGTTATGAATATTTTAGAGCTGACGAGAGTGGTCGTACAAGTCAGAATAATGATTGCATGAAGACGAATTCACATTCATCATTCATTGAAACATTGAGTGAAACTTGCTTCTAACATCAGGCAGTGACCTAATTACGCTGCCACACACGCAACAGTTTCATTTGTTTCAAATACATTCACGAAATGTACATTCTTTTTAGTATGTATCACATTCACAATATATTAATCCTTTTTAGTATGAATCAACATAACCACAATTTTAAAGACCGTGAAACGTTGTAAGTTTGATAACATTTCACTTCATAGGCCTACCTAATTTTAGTTAATTTTTAATATCATTTAAGAGTGAGTGACATGTGTGACCGAACCCAGGTGATTGGTTGACTAGCCCAGGTGATTGGCTGATTAGCCCAGGTGATTGGCTGACTAGCCCAGGTGATTGGCTGATTAGCCCAGGTGATTGGCTGACTTGCCCAGGTGATAGGCTGACTAGCCCAGGTGATTGGCTGACTAGCCCAAGTGATTGGTTGACTAGCCCAGGTGATTGGTTGACTAGCCCAGATGATTGGCTGACTAGCCCAGGTGATTGGCTGACTAGCCCAGGTGATTGGTTGACTAGCCCAGGTGAGTGGCTGACTAGCCCAGGTGATTGGCTGACTAGCCCGGGTGATCGGTTGACAAGCCCAGGTGACTGGCTGACTAGTCCAGGTGATTGGCTGACTAGCCCAGGTGATTGGCTGACTAGCCCAGCTGATTGGCTGACTAGCCCAGGTGATTGGCTGACTAGGCCAGGTGATTGGCTGACTAGCCC